AGTTTTCGGACTTCAATTATTAATGGGAGTCTGAATACTTTTAGGTAACGGTTTGCGTGAAGCAGCCTGTATATACAAAAAAAAGTGGTTGTGATTTATGCATTTAGGTAGCTAAGGTACCACACGGTATCTTACAATGTTCTATCACATACTCTTGAATTTCTTTAGTGGAATAGAGGGTTGCTAAAAATTGTAGGCCAGTTTCGGCAATAGCTTGAGTGTCATGTTCGAAAAAGGGTTTGATTTCTTCGAAAAACCATTTATTTTCAAATGAGGAAAAAAAATGCTCCTCTGCTTTTTTAAGGAAATACACATTTTGAAGCACCAGGAATCCGAATCAAACAAAATCTCGATGATGTCGGTCTGTACTCTCATTTTCGGCTAAACTGCTGAACCGATTGGAACCAATAATAATAATAATTTGATACACATAACGGGCGATCAAATATGAGTTGCTGTCGAGTCGCCTTTGGAAGTTCAAGTTAGGTACGATTTACCATGTAAACAAAAATTCCAAAAGTGACTCAACAACAACTCATTTTTGATCGCACGGATCATAATTCCTTTACCATAAAAGATACCAAAAAAATTTTGGACAAAAGTTATAGACAATTACCGTCTTCATGTTTCTAAAATATTTTTGATTCCAGAGGCGTATCAAACCTTCGTTGTTTTTTTAATGGAACAACCCATACTTTATTGCAGATTTGGAAAGTACTCAAAAAGTACGCATTTTTTATGTTACGTATTTCACCCTTAACTTTGGCGATTTCGCTGTTATAACCATTCTTCCTAAAAATTTGACGGTTTTTCGATTTTTTTTTGAGAGAAACTAAACATCCTTCACTTTAACATATTTTTTAGATGCTTACTTTATCGAAAAACAATTGTTTGATTGACTTTCGCCCAATATCATGTTTTAAATTTTAAAGGCCCCCCCCCCCCCACACAAACCATACCTCAAAATTTTCCCTGGTAAGAAAAAACACGCATTCCACAAAAAAATTTCAGAGAAAAAACGCCAACTTGCAGAAAAAACTTCATCTCCGAACCCAAGTCTTTTTTTCGATAAAGTACCTAAAAAACTATGTGGCAGGGGAAGAGGTCTTGGTCTGTGCCTGAATCCTATTTCAAATTAGTTCCATACATTACGTGTGGCGCGATTTTTATGCGCATGCTTTTGGGTCTCAGAATTCGGCCTGCACTTGTCGGTTCTTCAAGTCGAATGGAATATTTAACAATAGTAAACATTTCTTGAATTGTTGCGACACCGTGTATATCTGTTGCCCTATAGTTACTTTTTTACTTTCTAGCCTAAGATACTCTGGAACTGAATGCCATTGCACAAAACTTAATTTAGAAAAAGGATCAACGATCCTTAATTATGGTTTTTGTCTTCTAGGTTAATCGGGATGAGAAATGAAAACAGGCTCTTTGATTTACAGACATTTTTGTGCATGGGTAACAGAACCCATGTCCATATTTGATCGATTTTAGGTTACGACGTCCATGTAGCAAAAATGTACGTGCGATCGACGTCGGATGATTCCCTATTATGAAATATTTAACATGTGCTCTATAAAACAATTATTACAATTTACGTCCATTGGCCGTACGTACCAATTACGGAGCGCACACCTTTGAATACAGCTACACGCGGATGCGCAGTACGACAACATTCAATATAAAAGCGTTATTTGTGTTAACCCAGGTCGGTGCCTACGTATTTATATATCTATAGTAAATTAGATTGCATTAATACCATTTTTGCTTTGAGAAGTAGGGATGCAGACATTCAAAAACATATCTCAAGACAGTTTCGAAAAAGTAATTCCTAAATGGCTCAAAAAAGCAAAGGAAAAGAAATGAATTGTTTGTTACATTATTTCATATCCCGGTTGTTTTGGCATCTTTGAATGGATATCTTTTTCAAAATAGCTGGTTTATTTGTTAATCTAGTGCAATAGTACGACTGGTTATGTCCATAGGACATACAGTATGTAGGTACATAAATTGTCCGTACCGTTGACATTTGGACCTGCAGTGGACGTCCACGGTACAAATTCTGTAAGCGTAAGCGTATTACGTACAAGATTCGTACAAAAGCTCCACATAATTATGTACATACAGTAGACGTTTAATGTACGTGTTGTGTGAGCATAATTGGGCGTGACACGGTGAACTAACTCATGACAACATGGTCAACCAACGTTTTTCACGTGATTTATAAATGAAATTATCAGCTGATTTAAAATCAAAATCGAGTGTATTTTAAGGAGATTAATACAAGACAATAAATTTCATAAACACTTTATAATTTACGCATTCCTTCACGCATTTTTATCGTTGATACAGAGTTACTTCGCTTTTAACCGATGATTAAAAGCTACCTAGCTTTTAATGACTAAACAAATCATCTGAGTGGTTGGAATTTGAAACAATCCCCACGATTATTAATGGAGTGTATTAATCTTTAAAAAATACCACCGTATTGTGCCTTGAGGTCTTCTGAATATGGGTTTCAGGCAAGCGTAATATTCTTCTTATTGGTATTTTATTCCAGTATTACAGTTTTCAGTGCATAAACGGTTGACTAAATACTAGCAGCGAATTTGGATAACAAATTATCACCGAACTGTGACGTATTGCGTTGGTTGTGCTTATAAATTTTTTCTTTTGGGTAGTAAATTAACACCAAATTTTGGTTTTGTTGCGTTACAATGTATATAGACTAAGTCCCGGTGCTCATGAGCTGCAAAGTAGCCGACGCCTAGGTTGTTTTTTATTAAGATAATTAAAAATGCGTTGGAAGTAATGAGGAAATACACAAAGGACACCAATACGCTGCCTAATTACTCCCAACGTTTTTATGACTATCTTGATAGAAAACAATCTCGGCGTCCCGATTACATTGCAACTCATGTGAACCGGGCCTAACCTTAGATGTAATTTTTATCTGAATCGTTTACTACTGTCAATCTAAGATTTTTATATAAACTACTTTATGTGTTACACATGACACAGATAAAAAAGAATGAAAGAAAAGAATCGAGTTCACTTTTGTACCTTTCCTGATACTCTTAACATGACGATAAAAATCAAATACGTTCACTTCATGTTACTCTTTTTGGCACCAATTCATCAATTCCTTAGAACACTTCACTCACGTTATGTCACTCTTATGTGTCTTGGTTTGAGTACGTTCCATCACTAATGGTAAAGGTATGTAGACATTGCTGAGTGTAGAATATGGATACCGCCGTCGATTATGTCTAGGATGATCTTTTTTTGCCATTACCTGAAGAATGGTAATTGCTGATAATGTTATGGATGCTTGCGCAATAAAAATGGCTAAACCCGCAATGGCAACCAGGTACTTAAGAGCTATCGTTAGAATTGCAGCTTTAATGCTTAACGATATAAAGAAATTGCGTCTGTAAAAACGTGAATTATTTCTTTTCCCGTTTCCCTTTGCATTTTTACGTTTTTTCATTTGTATCTGTACGGTAGACATAAAGCGTACGACATGGCGCTAAGCGTGCGTCTGCACATTTCGCTCGAGTTCATACCATCTTTATTATAGTCCAGACGCTGAGTGCTATTCTTCTGGAGACCACCATCAGCAACTTCATTTTGATAAAATAGCGATATCACGTTGTCGATCAAACCGTAAACTTTCGCTTTGAAGCAATTTATGTTGCACATATTTCTGCAAGTAGTGTTTTCCTCGAGGGTTTGATTTGCAGAACTGAATTGAAACGTTAAACAAATGAAGAACAGAATCTGCATTGCTATACGCGCTGCACGAGACTAGTAAATTGGATGCATTTTCTGCACTTTATCAATCTGCGAAAATGTTTCAGAGCATAGTTAGATAGGGTATCACGCATCAAATAGGAATAAAGTCATTCGCCAACTAATTATAAGCACGCATGTAATCGTGTGAAACTCCCGCAACTGCAGCTCAATTCACACGTCGGTCGTTTCGGAAGTACCACCAATGGAAAGTAACTTTCGATGGACAACTTGCGTTTCCAACTTTCTGTGAGATAACGGTGACAACCCACTTGGGCTCATCACGTCTGTATCTGGAAATGACGATTACCTATATGAGAAAAAATGCGGTACAATAGTCAACTGCGTGCATTAGAATTCTGCAAGACAGTTACCAAGATTTCACCACGTCTGATAGATAAAAATACTTTTTTTAATTGACTACAAAAATTAAATCCTTATAAACCAACTGGACGGGACGACACCGAATCTACACGTATTCACACATAAGGTAGACTAATGACCCAGATTTAAAAATTCTGAAGGTAATGAGATATAAACTTGAACTTGATTTTAACGTAAATTTGAAGAAATGGTAAACACACATTATTCAGCAAATCATATTCAACAATGAAAACCTTTTAAAAGAATGGGGTCAGATAGACACGAAAATTACAATATTTTAGAATTGCTAAACAGACGAAAATTATTAACACAGTAAAAAGTAACCGGATTTAAAATTGAGGTTCATAGATCGTTATAGGGCTCCCGAAATACACCCCCCGTTATAAATCTTACAATTAATAACGCAAATGGTCTTTAAATTCAGTTTATAGATCGTAAAATTGGAATTAAAGGCACTCGGGAATTACAGTTTTCATTTTCACACGTGCTTTATTTAACCAGATTCACTGTCTGTAACTGAGTAGGTCAGCGATTTATTCATAAGTATAGATTTAATGAGTAACAGCGAACGCACGGGAGAAAATGTAATAATGAAGTTGTGTAAAGCAGGTGATGCCAAGATTACGAGAGCCAATACAGACGAGAGATTGCAATTCTGGGTCAATCTCAGCCAATAGTGCTTCTGGGGTAGTCGGCAAATGTGCCGAAGAACCACGTGTGGGTGATTGCGCATCTCTCTTTCTCTGGATACTTCTACGGGGTCATCTATGGAAAGGTCAGCGGGTTCAGGAGATGTAGTATAAAATTGAAACTATATCTTTGGTGGCCCACAGTTTACATTTGATAGTGAAGTGTGATGGCCGCGCGGTTTACGTGCGTGTTAGTGCTATTTATCGCTCTCGCGGCAGGGGCAGATGACATTTTAGAAAATGCCGGTTTAAGGATAGCTTTTAAAGTCTTCGACGAATGTTCCAAATCGGATGGATTATCGCCGTGCATTAAGAAGAAGGCCCTCACATTCCTGGATCGACTAGGTCGGATGGACAACCTGGAAATTTCGGATGAAATAAAAATCGTGAAGATCGCCAATTCGAGTAAGGAAGACGAGAATGCCCCCAGCATGGAGCAGCTCGAAAAGAATTTACCGCGAAACGTCGACGCCAGGGACGCGGTTTTAACGGATATGTTATGGAATAAGGTGGCGTCGTTAGTGCAAACTAGAGACATTGAGTTATCCATGCCTCGCTCGGGTTTCGAGGACGATGACGATGCGCAACAAATTCAACATGTAGAAGTTAATACGGGAGGTAATTACAACACAAATTTAATGCTTGAAGACTATAGCGTGAATTATCTTTTATAGGCTCAAAAAAAGGAACTAAGGGCGGAGGCGGAGGTAATAAAGGCGGCGGCGGGAACAAGCAGAAAAAGAAGATAATGAAGATGTTTAAGAAATCAGGCAAGAAAGGTGGCGGAATGATGATGGGAATAATGATGGCCATGCTTGCAAAAATGTTCGCCTTAATTCCCATAGGAATAGCCGCACTATTTCTACTAGCTGGCAAGGCTTTGATTACATCAAAAATTGCGCTTCTCCTTTCTGGAATAATTGCCCTTAAAAAGCTACTTGCGGCCAAACAAGGTGACGACCACGGAACCCCCCAACACGTTTACGCCAGCTCCGGACACGGATGGGACAAGCGATCCCTTGAGGAAAGCCACAAACTAGCGTACAACGCATCCGCCCCGAAACAAGATTAACGTGTACCTGATGATGAACACCAGAGTTTTTATCGACCAATTTTATGGTCTGCTGTAGAGAGCGCGTCTACGTTAACACACCAAAAACCATAACTACCTTAGTCACCTTAGTGAACGCGATGCCAATTATTTATTGAATTGTTAATTTTTATAATTATTTATTGTACATAAATACGTCCGACATTGTTAAGAATAAAAATCTTAAACACCTGGGGAGTAAATGATTATTATTCATTAGGTACTCCGAACACAACGAAGCATTTAGGAAAATCGTCCAAATTACTGTAACAATTAAACATTTCTGTGCTACTAAACTCTGTTTAATATTTAGTAAGTCCTCTCACCTAAAAACCTACAAAAAAGCAGTTTTCGCCTATATAGGAAGATTAATAAAATATAGCAGTCACATTAAGTACGGCCTCGGGTGATAATTATACTTTTTAAATTCTAGTTGGACTAGTAATAACTAGATAACTAAAACCTAAAAGTCCATACGGAGACGAACGGTGTTCATTGTCCCGCACTTCTAATTTATGTCAAATTTGCATCTAACACTGAAAATTACTTTACAAAATTAAATGGTTTAATTAAGTTCTAGTTTTTAATTATTTACGAGTGTCGGATGTAGGATTACCGTCTTCACGAATTGCTTATATATTGTTCTTTAATTTAATAGTGAGAGAACACAGTTTAGGATTGCTCGTCGGGAGTTTCTCAAGCTCATTGTGCAAATGTTAAAAATTGAGGCTTGCAAAAAATTGGACCATCATAAATTGTCGCTCTGTAATGGTTTCTTTTTTTTTAAATTTTAGGTTTCAATCCGCGAGCTACTTTCACAGCACTTTGCGTTCAACTTTTTTCGATAGAATGGCATCGGAGCGTGGTAATGAGTTAACAGGACGAAGGACTACTATAATTATTATGTTCTTGATGCAGGGGATGTTGCCAATTGCAAAACCTTTCTCAGTTAGAAAAGTAATTTGTTCCAATAGAAACTTTTGACGCTTTCCTTATGTTAGCTATCTATAATCTACTAGTCCAAAATATAAAGAAGTGGGCAATCGCCATTGGACACAATATTAGTCTGCAGAAGAGGCCCCTTTGTGTAATTACGTTTTAAAGAACTCAAGCTTCTCGGTAAAGGAAATAACACTGCAGTCCAAAGCGTCTCAGATGAGATAATTGTAAAGGGAGATATTGGAAATGTTTTTTTCTAACACACCAATATGAGCGAAAAAATTACTCCCTCTCTAGACACTCTCTGTTTGAATAATAAATTAAGATGGTTAGGGTAACGTAACATGCAATATCAATTCTACTGTTTGTGCCCAACTCTTCTGTATGACAATGTGACAAATAATTGGTAGTTGGTAGTAACTAGTTGTGTCCGAGCCGAAGGTTCGGCTTCGTCTTCGGTTTCAGTCACATTTCTGACGGAACCTACACATTCGGTTTCTTCAAAGTGAAAAATCGCTATTGGCTGCACTTTCTCGTCCGTCCGTCCGTCACACGTACTCCTTCTAGACCACTGAACCAATTTGGGCGATTTTGAAAGGGCTTGGTCCAAGGATTCCGTGCATACCGATATTTTTTGATTATTTAAATGAAATTTTATAGATAGATGTGGAATAAAGACAAATCTAACACCAGTTGCAAAATTTGGTTTTGCGCATGCGCAATGCCAACTTCCTTATTTACGAAAGAATTTAAATGAAATTTAATAAATAGGTACTTGGAATACAAGACACCAGTTTAAATTTTGGTTTTGCGCATATGCATAGGCAACTTTCTTATTTATGAAAGCAGTTAAATGAAATATCATAAGGTAAGCATCACTTCGAATTAAACGAAAACTAATACCGTTTTCAAAATTGGGGGAGACCGGGGCTAGTTGTCACAATTTTGGATTCAGTCGTTATGCCTCAGACGCCTTTTTTGAACCAAAATTACTCTAAATACTCAGTTGGTATGTAGGCCGCCAATTTACATTTTTTTCAAATTTTAGATACCAACGATTAAAAGAAGATTTTTTTAGCGCTTTTAGATTATTTTACTAGTGACAACTTGCCCCGTTTGATTTGTGACAACCTACCCCACTTGACCTGTGGAAACTGAATGTTAAATAAAAAAAATTGATTGGACACAATTCTTGTGCAGATAAAGCGCATTTTTTAAACCGAAAAAGCTTTTGTTTTGACATCACCAATAGATATATTTCTTGCAGACGCCTCAATCGCCCTTTGTGAGTACCCTCTTCCGACAATCCGTTCTTGAGGTATAAGGGAATATACTCGATCACGATAAGCGGTCGAGGAGGAGGGCCATGGTTGGTAGAAATTAATTCCTTTCGTTGAGACCTTTCATTAGAGTACCATAAAAGATAAAACTAGTTCCACTCCCCCCCTCGTGCACGTTTTACTTTCAAAAACAGATTCTCAGGTAATAATTCGTGGGGGGAGGTCTCTTTTAGATAGCGAAATTTGATGGCCGTCTGGCACACCTATAAGGTATAGGCTACCTACTGCAAAAAAATTCCATTATTTCCTGAGATACTGTTTTTGAAAGTGAAACGTGCATAACTTTTACATACGACAACCAATTGGTTTCAGATTTTGCATACGCATGCCTTTAGCGGTGCCAAGTTAAACCGTAAATTGGGGGGGGGGGGGACACATGTTCTACTCTTCATGGTATTCTAATGAAAGGTCTCATCGAAATAAATTGGTTTTCTGTGAGACTCTTTTTCGAGTTCAATGAGCGACGAGCCTGGGAGGAGGGACTGTTAAATTTAATTTTATTTCTCATCGTATTCTAATTAAAGGTCTCAACGAAAGGAATTAAAATCTACCAACCATAGCCCTCCTCCTCGACCTCTTATCGTGATCGGGTATATTCCCTCATACCTCAAGAGCGGATTGTCGGAAGAGGGTACTCACAAAGGGCGATTGAGACGTCTGCAAGAAATATATGCATTGGATCTTGGTATCGAATGTCCGAATGACAGCAGAATCTGAACAAATTTTAATAGCGATGAAAAAGGATGATGATCTCTGGAAGAGTCACGATAAAGGGAATTCCCGCTGCGAAAATCAATACCGACCAGAAGAAGGCAAAGAGGTCTCTAGAAGAGCATATAAAGCTGTACCTCCAAGAGCCCCTTCTTCTACGAAGTGGCCACATATGCGAATGTTGGCACACTGCCCCCTACATCAATTTGTCTGCACCACTCACTATCATGACCCATTAGTGTGTTTAGTCTTACTACACAAATATATGACCACAGAAGAGCCAATTGACTTGGTGAAAATGTTCAAAACTCTAATGTAGAATTTGGTTAGTGCCGACAGAAGTGACTGCTTCTTTATCTCTTACACTTCTTTCTATTGGCCGCGATGTATTTAGGAAAAAAACGCGCGCTTAGGATCGAACCCGCGTTACGTACTGTCGGAAATCGGCGATTTTAATGCGATATTTCTGTAATGTACTCGAAGTGTGTCGCGAGATGGCGTAACGGGTGAGATGATTTTACTCCCGTGCAAAACATACAGTTCATACCGAGCAATAAGAAGTGATCATAGGGGTGTAGGTAAAATGAATGAGAAATTTTACTTACACACTTATAATAAAAAAAACTCAAAATATGGAAAACTTTATAAACAAGAAGTACACTTCAAAAATGTTTCTTCCATATTTAAGCTTTTCGACGTTGAATCTTGATAATCGTGTAATCTGCACATCATATTATGCGAGTCTCTCAATTTTTTGTAGGAATGTTCGTAAATTTTAAAGCTCTCCGGAAAACCTTCGCTCGCGGCCACATGTACTATTTCCGATCCCAAACTAGTTTTAACCCCCATGCTTTCTAACATGCTTAATTTTCCCAATCCTAGAGAGGTTGTGAAGGGCTGTCTCCGCAGACCGTCCCTTTTGGTATGCATGTTAGTTAGTGTGAAGGTTTTTTTTCTTAAGTAACTGTTCTCTTTATGTATTTCCATACTATTCTCTCCGTCGTGTTAAGGATTGTAACGTCCCGTTGTGTCGTTGAATGTACTCTTAGTTTGGGTGACTGACTGAATGCGCTCTTAGTGTGTTAGGAACAGTTGGTACCATTGGGATTGAGAAAATATCACTTTTGCTTTTGGCGTTGAAACACAGGTCTGGATTTTTCAGGGTTATTACGCTAAAATTGTTTAAATTACTCATCTAAGCGTATTTACGTGAATAGGAGATGGTTGTATCCTTTTGAGGTAAATTTATTTTCATGGGATTCCTCATTTTTTAACACGTTTCTTTTTAGGTTATCCCATATGCTTTAATTTAATTATCACCTTCCTTTTACCTATATCGCAATCCGAAACCCATTTATTAATGGGGTACGTAAGTTTGAATAAATTGGAATTGGGTCTGATTTTACCATTGTAGTTTTGGGTATATCTTTCGTGTAACGAGTATTAAACAGTCCTATAGATGGGGTACCGTTCTCTTATGAAATGTTTAAACGAGATCACCAACCTATAATTGATATGTTTTGCTTAGCTGGAACTCATATAAAATTAGATGAATACAAATGGTGAACCTAGGTGTGAACTATCAGAGGGAAAGTACAGATAAACTGTAATGGCCTTTTTCTGTGTTTTCCGTTGCCGTACATTTTTGCTATCATCGTGAATTATTGCTGTGTAATTGATTACATGACATAGAGGAGTTACTAATGTGCAAGCAACTGTAAAGTGCGTTTTAGTTTTAGCGCCTCATTAGTGCTGCCATCACCTTGTCTACATCCCCTTTGGTCTGCTTGATGGCATTATTTAAACATCTCTTGATATATTCTATTGTTTTTGAAGTAAAAAATTTGTAACCATTTTGCTTCTTTAGGTCAACTCATTGTTGACACTCTTCAAATTATGACTCAAATAAGTTATCTTCTTAATGGAATATAAACTTCTCGGTTTAAAGCTGCCATAGTAGATTGAAGAGACTAAACTCCAAAGACTTGATAGAATTTCACGATGTTGGTGGGCGTTCTAAAGCAATAATTGAGTTACAACAGGCTTACAACTAACAAAAAAATAATTTACCAACTGATGCAAAATAAGCAAAATGGCCCACAAGAAAATAATTCCCAGAAACGATGTAACTGACCAGCAAAGCTCTACTCCAAGCCATTGTTTTCTGGAATATAGGGTCTCAAAAGTCAAGTGTGCACACTT